GCTTCACACAATCACTTAGTTTATTTCGATTAAATGAACTTACTTTCACATTAATTTTTAATTATAATAATTGAATAATTCAGCACTGATTATATAAAGGAAACACTCAAATAAAACCAACAATAAAATTACTCAGCGATTGCGTAACGTGTGAACTGGGCAACGATCGACGAACGACTGACTCGAGCTTGCGCTTGCGCTGCTTTATATATCACTCGGTGGTAGGGTTGAAGTGACGTCGGTCAGATGTTTGTTCACTGCTCGCCCATTACATTCGCAGTTTACAAAATAATGACGGCGGCGCCGACATATGCTTAACACTAAATTTTCTTCGTAACGATAAATATCCTCTGAATCCTCCGATCGCTCTGTCATTTAAATTCTGCAACCTGGCATCAGTATCACGTCGACAAGAATCATGATAGAGTATGGTGGTGTGCAGGACATGGACAAGGAGCGCTGCGGCAGCATCCCGCGCGTGTCGGTGGAGCGCGCGCTGTGCCAGCGGAACCTGCTGGCGCTGGTGTCGGCGCGCGAGCGGGACCTGCTCTACAAATGCTTCGGATACAGGCGCGGCTGCGGAGACGAGGTCTAATTTTACTTACATAATATGTTTTACTGTTTCTTCATTACAAGCTGGGATTATAAGGTTGGCTTGTTGCAATAATTGCCAAAGTTGACCAAATGGAGCAAGTGTAACTTCAGACTTTCATATAGTCTGTACCAGTCCACGGCCTATAGCAGCGAGCTTGCTGCACCCTGATAGGCATAGTTATGTTGTGTATATATAGCTGGTTTATGATATAAAAAAAAATCCCCCTTGGAAACCTGTATGAGGTGTCCTGATCCTGGCCATGTAACCTGTGCTGTTCCCGGCAGGTGAACTACCGCGCACTATGCAACGCTCTGTCGATACTTTACGCCACGGCGAGCGCCCAGCCCTGCTGAGCCGCCGCCATGGACTAGCTGGGCACCGACACCACAATACTGTGCTCCAGTGCTGCAATGTCCTGTATTCTACTATGTCTGTGATCACATGAACCCCTTTACATTCTCTCTCTATACTCAATGTAGGTGTCCCTATAGGTATTGTATCTAATGACAATAAAGGAAATACAAACTTTAAAGAAACTGACTTTTATTCAACAATATGTTTATAACAATGCAATGAAGTTAAGGTCAAAATAATTGTAGTTTAATTTGATAATAGATAGACATTTTAAAACAATTATACAAAAAATGATGTGAATGAGACAATGCAAGCCAAGACGTTACACAAATTGATTAAAAATCATTTTGTTTTAGTTACGTCGTGTTTCAATAGTTAGGTATTATTAGGAATGAACAAAAAATATTTAATACTGCGGCGGCGTCGACATTGACGTGGGCTGGTCGGAAGTTTCAGCAACAGTACTTTCAGCGACTGGAGTAGGAGTTTCAGAATATATGACAGTGGTATCAGTAGGTAGTGCTGTGCTGTCAGTGGGATGTAGTGTGGGCCGCGGGCGAGGAGGAGGACCGGCCGTGCAGTTGACGTTGTTTGGCCAGTCGCAGACTAGTAGTTCCGGGTTGAAGTGCAGGCCGGCAGGACAGCGGCGGCACACCAGGGGGATGCCGATGCCGATGCTGCTGCAGTAGAAGAAGAGGCGACAGTCGCGGGGGTGCGGCGCCAGCGACACCGTGCTGTTAACGTGTGCGCACGCCTCCCAACCCGCGCGCCGATCTGCGCAGCCGCGCCCTCCACGCCACGGCGGCCGAGACGCGTCGCGTATCCTGGATAACACAGCACGCATTTTTTTATTATTTATTTTCGTTACTCAGTCGCATCAAAACGGCTGAAGGGACCGGGATGAAATTTGGAACAGAGGTAGATTGTGGTCTGGACTGGAGTAATACATAGGCTACTGTGTACCCCTGGGAACGCGGGCGAAGCCGCTGGCAGAAGGAGCTATTAAGAAATAGAACTCGTGACCGTCTCATTCTCATCTGAGATGGTAAAATAAAAGCCACCGCCACTTGTGACAGTCTCTCTATAGCCATGTAAATTAGTTATTATAATGTATGTCTGCGTAGATATAGGTATGTGGGTACTTAAATATATAGCGAATGTAAAAACTCAAAACTCACCAAGATGGGACATCGTGGGGTCCAGCAAGACAGCTGGCTAGCAGACAGCTCAGCAACAATAGTTTGTACATGTTGGCGTTTCAGTGAGCACTGTGCCGGTCTCAGTAATGCAGCCTACTTATTGCAGCAGCCAAGTGGTACGTTGAGTCAGCCGTGCACTTCATTCGATATTGAGTACTTGGCAGATAGGTACACCGGCCACTTAGCTTGGTATCTTCTTACACTTGGGACAGAAACCTACAACAACACGTGATGACGACGACGACGTCTCCGTCGTTATCACGTTCACAAAATATAGGTACCTAGGTACAAAATTGCATGTTGACAGTTTCAAGTTCCAGCCACATATTTGCAATGATACAAATGGTGGCGCTAGGCAAAACAAGTCTGCAAAGGAGCAGCACGCAGCGCAAGTGTAATTAGGATTGCCAACCACACTTTATAATAATGTATTGTACTTTATTTTTGGTAATCATACTTTATACTTTTACATACAAATAAAGTAGGTACCTATTTATCTGAAAATATTTTATTTCCAAACTTAATTGCAATGCGTGGAATAAAATGGTACTTAACTATTTAACGCTCAGTTAACCAAACCAATTACTTTTGCATCTAATTGAATTTCAAAACCGCATAGACGTGGTTTGCGTTACTGAACACTTCATGGAAGCTGGATTTGAAGATTTTTTCACTATACCTAATTATAAACTGGCAACTAGCTTCTCGAGAGATACAAGAAGAGGAGGAGCGTGCATATTAATAAAAAACGACCTTCAATATAAAGAGCTGGAAGACATCAGGAAACATTCAGTTCAGGGAGCATTCGAGTGCTGCGCAATCGAATTAACACAACACAACATTATTATTGTATGCATCTACAGAATACCTAAATTAAAAAATCTTGATACCTTTTACTCTAAATTAGATATTCTATTGCCTAAGATTTGTTATAAAGCGCGCAAAAATGTTGTTATATGTGGTGACTTCAACATCAATACTTTAAAGAAAAATAGTATATCTCTTGAGTTTATTAATTATTTATTAAGTTATAATTTGGAACTACAAATTGATCAGCCCACTAGGCTACAAAGCAATACATGTATAGACAATTTTGCGCACAACTTCATTCAAAAATGTACTCACAATATAGTAGATCTTAACATGTCGGATCACACCGCTCAAGTTTTAAAGATCCCTGTAAAAAAGACTTATACACTGGACAGTTGGAATATAACAGCGCGTGATTACAGCTACGATAACCTTGTGAAATTTAGATCAAGTTTATACCCTTTGTCGTTTTGTGAAATTTATGAAGCAGATAATCCTAATATAGCGTATGATGCCTTTATAGAAACATTCCGACTGTTTTATGACTTGTGTTTTCCCGTAATTAACAAAAAAATTAAGTTAAAAAGGAAACCAAACTGGTTAACACCGGGGATAAAGCGTTGCAGCAAAAATAAAAGACAACTTCTTTGGCAACTAAGAGCGAAACCAAATTACAATAACTTAACGAAACTTAAAAGTTACACGCAAAGATTAAAAAAAATAATAAAACTAACACAAAAGGCAAGAAATAACCATAAGATAATGACCTCAACCAATAAATCCAAAGACACATGGAGGATCATTAATGAAAATAAATACTGCTCTCCCTATGAACACATAGCGGAAATACGAAGGAACGGGGATATAATAACCGATCCTAGTGATATCGCTAACGCATTTAACGATCACTTTGTGGAACAAGCAGAATTACTTTCGAAGGTCTCAAAATCTGCAAACTATGAAATCCCGCATACATGTTGCAAATCAATGTTCTTGGCTCCGACTACACCTGATGAAATACGTAGGCTAATAGACAATCTAAAAAATAAAGTTAGTGTAGGATATGATGACATCTCGACAAAAGGATTAAAATTTGTTTCCGATATAATATCTGGGCCCATTTGTCACATAATTAATGTTAGTATCTCATCTGGAATCTATCCTGATAAACTCAAACCAACTATAATTAAACCACTATTTAAGAAAAATGATAAAAATGATATAAATAATTATAGACCTATTGCCCTAATACCAATGATATCAAAAATATTTGAGAAAGCGATTCATCACCGTATGGATTCTTTTTTTACAAAACATAATCTATTAGTACAAGAACAAAAAGGTTTTAGAAAGAATACATCAATAAACATGGCTATCTACGATTTCCTTAATATCTTAATCACAAATATTGATAACAGAATCCCAATTAGTGCTATATTTATGGACATGACGAAAGCTTTTGACTTAGTTGATCATAATATTTTACTACAGAAACTAAATGCTTATGGAATAAGGGGCAAAGCATTTTCACTTATACAATCATATCTTGACAATAGAACGCAGTGTACGGAAATTAAACGAGTCTCAAAAAAAGGTAAAAAGGAACTTAAATATTTATCTAAAACACGTAAAGTCACTTATGGCGTGCCACAGGGTAGCGTACTGGGCCCGCTGTTATTTTTGGTTTACATAAATGACTTTCCAAAACACGTCACTTTTCCTATGGTTCTTTTTGCTGATGACAGCACAATAATTATTGAACAGAATAAAAATAGAAATTATGAACGTGACATTAAAGATTCTTTGCAACAATCAATTAATTGGCTTGATCAAAATAATTTACAATTAAATGTAAATAAGACTAAAATTATACAATTTAGACAAAGAACAACTACTCCTGACATAAATATATCTATTGACGATAAAAGAATTGAAGAAGTAGAACATACAAGATTTTTGGGACTAACTATTGACTGTAAACTGACTTGGAAAGAACATGCATCAATTCTTATAAAAAAATTAAGTCGCTTTGCCTTTGCTCTATACAAACTCAAGAAAATAGTTAACCAGGCAGCAGTTGTTGCTGCATACTATGGTTATGTTGAATCCACATTAAGATATGGTGTAATTTTTTGGGGAAATTCCTCCGAGAAATGTACTATTTTTAAAGCACAGAAAAGGTGCATTAGGTCGATGTGTAGCTTGAAAGTAACGGACAGTTGTGAACCTCATTTTAAATCTCTTAGAATACTAACTTTACCCTGCCTTTACATATACGAAACTGCACTGTTCGTCAGAAAAAATAGTACTTTGTTTAAAAAAGCCTCTGAGGACCGTCATAGATCGACAAGATCAGAACGTCGACACGAATTATGTCTGAGAGCCTCAAAGACAGCCCTTAAGCACAAAAGTATCCTTTGCATGGCACCCAAAATATATAATAAAATCCCAAATACTATCAAGAATCTGAATTTAACACAATTTAAACGGAAACTTAACAATTTTCTAATTGATAAATGCTATTATACCATTGACGATTTCTTTCATGACAAAATGTAATAAACTGACAACTATGTGTATAATTAATTATGAAAACTTGGGTAACTTATTGTTTATTTAGTGCTTGTATTAATTTATTTTGTTGCAAAATTTTTGACATTTTTGCTATTGATTGTTTATTTAATGCCTGTTATAATTTATAATTTATATTGTGACTAATTTTTGACATTTTATTATTTATTTTTGTTACAATTTTGAATGTGATGAATATTTTTATACTTTAAATAGTGTATGCCTAATGGGCAGCTTTTTGCGCTACTATAATAATAATTTTAAGACCCTTTTGTATCACCAAAAAGCACACGAATAAATACTTTGACTTTGACTTTGACTT